AGAGAGAACATTCAGCCTTTGGTTTTTTGAGGTTGTCTTATTTCACTTAGCTTGATACTCTCCAGTTCTGTCCATTTACTGGCAAATGCCATAATTTTGTTCTTCTTTATGGATGAGTAATATTGCATTATTTATGTGTACAGCATTTTCTTTATCTGTTCATCTGTTGAAAGGCACCAAGGTTTGTTCCATAGCTTAGCTATTGTGAACTGAACTGCTATAAACATTGATGTGCTGATTTAAATCCTTTAGGTATATGACAAGGAGTGGGATAAGTGGATCAAATGGTGGTTCCATTCCAAGTTTTCTGAGGAATTTCTATACTGCTTTCCAGAGTTGTTGCACCAACTTTTAGTCCCACCAGCAATGTATGAATGAATCTCTTCCCCTACCCTCACCAACATTTATTTTTATTTGTATTCTTGATAATTGTCATTCTAACTGTAGTGAGTTGGATTCTAAGTGTGGTTTTAATTTGCATTTCTATAATTGCTAGAGATGTTGAATATTTTTTCACGAATTTGTGGACTACTCATATTTCTTCTTCTGGGAAGTGTCTGTTCAGATTCTTAGCCAATTTATTGGTTGGGTTAATTGTTTTGGAGGGGTTAAGTTTTTTTGAGTTTTTTATATATCCTGGAGATTAGTGCTCTATCTGAGGTGCAGGTAGCAAAGATTTTCTCCCATTCTGTGGGCTCTCTCTTCATGTTCTTGATTGTTTCCTTTGCTGTGAAGAAGCTTTTTCATTTGATACCATCCCATTTATTGATTCTTGATTTTATGGCTCGTGATTTAGGAGTCTTGTTGAGGAAGTCATTTCCTAAGCTGACATATGGAGAGTTGGGCCTACATTTTATCCTAGTAGGCACACTGTCTCTGGTCTAATGCCTAGGTCTTTGATCCACACTGAGTTGAGTTTTGTGCAAGGCAAGAGATGGGGTTCAAGTTTATTCTATTGCATATGGATTTCTTTTTTTCTTTCTTTGTTTCTTTTTTTCTTTTTTCTTTTTCTTTCTTTCTTTTTTTTTTTTTTTTTGTGGTGCTGTGGACTGAACCCAAGGCCTTGTGCATGCGAGACATGCAGTCCACCTAATGAGCTATATTCCCAGCCCCATATGGATTTCTTTATAAAGTGGGAGTATTAACATGAATGTTAGTTTCATGATATTGTGGGATGTCAGCTTTAACAAGCAAAAATACAGAATGCCCACTTAAATTTAAATTTCACAAAAGCCTGGAGTGGTAATGAATGTCACATAGTAACACCAAAATATTTTTCAGGGTTTATGTAGGATTCAAATGTAGGTGTGCATCATGTATTTAATCTGGAACCTAGGATATAAATTAATTACTCATTTCTAAGATGAAACAAATATACCATTCGTATAATATGTATTGATACCTTCATGTCAAGACAGTTATTCTTGGATTTTGAATCAGCTCAATCATTTTGGAGTCTTTCAGTTGCTGCCATGATTGAGACATAATAGGTGTCTATGGTTTTCAATTTGAGAGATATACTACAAATACATGATGCTCACATGAGTATTCATAACATTAAAGGGTGACATTTGCACCAAAAGGCACATATTCTGAGTGGTTGTGCCCCAGCAGTGTCTGTTTCTGGCTCCACAGCCAGCTCCTATTCTGGAGCTCCATCCTCCTCTTCCCATCTCCTTGCAGAGCTGAGCTGCAATTAACAGGAAGTGCCATTTTTCCCCCTTTTCGTAAAGCTCACCTTAGAATGTCAAGAAAGATGAAGAAGGCTTTATTTACTTCTTGCATACTTTTTTTTTCCCTGCAAATAACTTTGACTAGAGTTTTGAATTTCAGATGTATAGATATGTATGGTTTTATTTTCTATGACAATTTTTCAAAGGTAAATTTACCAGATGAAAGCCAATTACAATGATTTTCATCATTCACCTTTAGTTTGTGACACATTGGGTTGAGATCCATCCACAATGGGTAAAGGCGTGTTTCTTGTTTACCTTCACACTCACTTATATAACTCTTGCCAAAGGGCATGATGGGAACATTTTGACCCAGATTTTAGCAAGCATGGGGGTGATAACGACCTTCAGTTCAGGCCAGCTTCTTCTTCCTTCTTCCCTTCCCCCTTTCTGCTTTCTTTTCCCTTCCCTCCCTCATTTGTCCAATCTTGTAGCAACACATATTAACAAAGTACCCAATCTCTGTAGCCACTATGCAAAAGTGACGTAATACCCTCCCCTGTGGAGCTTGAGTCACATGCATAGACACAGAGTGAACCAGTGAGAATCAAGTCTGTGGTAAAAACAGCAATGAAATACAAACACCTTTGAGGAAATGTCCACTGTCCTGTCCTCTTATATCAAGTAGGTGTTTGGCTGTGGCTGGGCAGCAGTAGGCACTGCTTCTTTTATGGGCTGGGCTTGTCTTTCTGCCTCTAAAAGAAAATGACATTGTCATTTGCCACCTCAGCCGGAGGACCCACAGGCTAGGGGTGACCACAGCTCCTAGTGCCGCACACACGTCCTGGAGGTGAGGTGAAGGTGGAGCTGGGTGGAGGTGAAGAAGGTCAGGACCCGTGGGTAGCACTTGCTGTGTTGTAGCATTGGGCAGAGGATTCTAGACTGGAGAACAGGGTCCTCAAGTGTGTGTACAACGTAGACTCTAGACCCAGCGAGGGAAGTAGAGCTGGTGTGGTGGGGAAATCCGGGTGAGAAAGGCGTTTCAAATCCAGGCAATGGAATGGCAGAGTGGGAAGGACTGGAGTGGTGAGGAGCAGGCTCAGTGCCTGGAGTTGATGTTAAGGGCACTGGTGCATTGTAAAGGGGCCTCAGGGGGTGGTTTGCAGGGACAGAGCCAACACGTAGCAGAGAGAACTGGGCCAGGGAGACGGAGATGGTTGCCATCATGTGGGGGTCACCACTGCAGAAGGAGACTTTGACAGAGGGTATGGGGGACAAAGCAGGAGAAGTGTAGGCGAGGGAAGGAAGGGCTTCAGGGAAACAGAAGAGGGTCCTGTAATGCTGCAGGAGGGAATGGGGACCTCAGAGGGTGCTGTTGGGTGACTAGATGCCCAGAGAAAAGGAGAAACAGCAGAGGGTCATGGTCCAGCAGATGGACCACACCTTCCTCAGAAGTGTTAAGCCCTGTCATTCTGTTAGCTTCCTTTAGCTGCAAAATCAGATAAACAGGATGCACTAAGTCCATGCTGCAAGTTTTTTAACCAATGATGACTTAATAAGTCAAATTATCAAAGATCTTTTAAAATTGAGTTCTTACTGCAATTGCTTAAGAATTCAAAGCACATATGATATTGACATTTGGGCAGGTTTCTCAGAATGCTAATCTATCAATAAAATAAAGAACAAGCAGCAAGATGTCCTTGTTAAAGTGTTGAATAGGATGGAGTTCTTGCACCTGTCTTACCCTGCCATGCTAAGCTGGAGAGAAAGCAGCATGAAAGTCACAAATGGGGGTCCTCCAGTGGGGTCCCAAGGGCATGTGCTAAAATGTCTGCTGCGGAGTCCATGGCTGCCTCTCTTCTGCCTCCTTGTCCCCCACCCTAATGCTTACTCTCCTGTTCTATCTCATGCACACAAACACAGTCTTTTCTTGGACAGAGACTGTTTTTAATCTTCCTCAAATGAAGCATATGTCAGTATATTCTTTACCTTTTCCAAAAGTAACATACTTAACCAGCTTGTTTGAAGTAAAATTACTTATTACTTATTAAAATTATATATATGACTCTGTAGCCCGTTCATAATTAATCAATACATGCTTATTTGAAAATTTTCAGATATACATTTTAAGTAAATCCAGGCTAATTCATGTATACGTTCATGCAACTCACATGTGCATCTCTCTTTAAATATAAATGACCCAGTCACTAAGGACTTTTCGTGGAGACAGGAAAAATAAAAAGTATTTTCTGACCCAAATCTTTTTGAGCCCAAGGTTCTTGATCTTTATTTCTGGTTTTAGAATCACTTCTTACCTTCATTTTGTGTTTAAAAATTAAGAGTTTTGGTGTTTTGAAACTCAGTATCTTGGGTTTTCTTCAATTGTATGTTCTGTTTCATGTACTTGGTGATAGGTCTTGCAGGTGCTTCTAGAAGTCTGGATTTCATCTCTGGGATTTGCAGGCTGGCAGCAGTGGAGGCCACAGCACAGGGCACTAGAGGGAGCCATGTGGGCTAGCAGCCTGTGTCCCCCTGATGTAGGTGCTGCCCATGTGATGCCCTCACCAGCAAGTGAAGGAGCCTCCTCTGCTCTCACAGCCTGCTCTGTGCGCTCACCCTGGGTAGTGTTAATGGCCAAGTTCATACAGAGTGCACAAAACACTAGTGAGCCGAACGTCTGGGGCCAGGAGGGCTGGGATCCGTCAGAAATGGATGTGCAAGAGTACAGAAAATAACTAGGAAATCTGAGGTCAAGAAAAGCAACCCAGAGAACAAGAACTAGAGAAGAGGGAGGAAATGAGAGCAGAGAAGGCAGAGAGGCGAGGATGCACTTCCTTGTGCAGGAAGGAGGAACGTGCCTCATTCCTTTTCCTACATGTTGGCAGTTCTCAATCATTTTGCCCCTGGTGGGGCAGCAAAGTAAAGTTGGCACTTCTGACACTAGGGATCCAAGATGGCCCCGTGATGATTTCTTTCTCCTAATGTTCTCCACAAAGCTTGCTACTGTGAGCCACAGCAAGGTTTAACATTCTCTCCGTTCCTGGATTTGCAACTGGACAGGCAGTGGTAGAAGAGCAGTTCTGAGCCCTGGCTGCTCATCAGCATCACTGCAGAGCCTTCAAAAGCACGGGTGTCCTGGCCACCCATCCGGGCAGCTGACTGTGTGGGTCTGCAGTGGGACCTGGGTATCTGCACTTTTGAAAGATGCTCCGATGGCTTTCCTAGATGGAGAATAATGGCCGACTGCTGTGTGTACTCTGCTCAGTACAGCAGACATAGCTGTGAGACCGCTGACCCCATTTCCCTCCCACCCTGTTGCCTTCACAGATTATGGCACCATTAAAAAAGTGCGTGCGCCACTGAATCAGTCCTTGGGAAGCTGTTTGCTGGAAGAGATCGAGCTCTTCCCGGAGAGGCGCAGGGAGCCCATCCGGAGCCTGCGGATCCTCCACAGCCAGAGCGTCCTGTTCGTGGGGCTGCAGGAGCATGTAGTCAAGATCCCCCTGAAGAGGTGCCAGTTCCACCGCACACGCAGGTAGGGCTCCCTGGGGACTGGTGGGTAAGACGGGTTCACTGGGGGAGAGGGCATAGGAGCCAGAAAGGCTTTTAAATTCGCTGTGGCCCAATGGCCCCGGGAAGGTAACGTCTGTGTGCAGCCTGCATCCCAGGTTGCAGGGTTTTCATGCAAACAGATTAACTGTGCTGAGACTAACCCACCAGTTATGTGTGGAAGAGGAGCCGCAATTATTACAATGTCTATGGGCAGTTGCCAGAATAAAAGTAAATGATTCATTGGGTCGAGGCACTCAGTGATAACTCTGATATTCGGGGGCCCAGCATTCATCTATTACTCTGGCATAAGGTCTATTTTATTTGGATATACACGTACACACCCTGGGCAGAAGCTGATATAATGTGTGTGCTCCCAGGCCAAAGCTCTTCTTCTGAGAAGAAGGGGGAGTGTCGATGCTCCTCACCCTCTTCACAGGACATCACTCGATGTCCTCCTGGGAGCGGCTTCCTTGGTGCTGCCTCAATCCCGAGGCTCCAGCATCATGAAGGCAGGCGCAGGGCAGAGAAAGGACGTCCTGCAGCACAGGGGAACCCAAGTGCCCCTGCTCCTGGCCAGCACCCCAGGCCTGCATTCTCTCCTGTGGGTGTCTGTTGCCCACTAAGGTCTTAAAGCTGATTTTGGAAGTAGGTAGGCCCAGGTAGTTAGGAAATGGTAATGAGATGTGCCAAAAATGAACTTAACGGGGACTTTAGTGTTGAAAGTCGCCTATGTACTTTGACCACTGATCAAAGATTGCCTTTGGGGATATCACAGTCTGAAAGTCTCTTAGGGATCAGTGCTCATATTCAATTCCATTTCCCAAAGTAGTGCATGATTTCAGGTTGGGTAGAAATGGTTTTCTTTTCTCTGTCATTCACAAGCACCTACAGGTTGTCTAAATAGTGTGCCTGAGGGCAGTGGCTGGGGGACTTTAGGGGCTTCCACGCATATTACAGACCTGTCCTTTTTATATCTTGATGCTGGTGCCTAAAGTACTTTAGACCTCCGTTTTCTCACTTATCACATGTGAACTGCTGTAGAGTCAAATGGGATGATACATGTAGTGTAAAATTGAAAACTCTCTGCAAAGGATTATTTTTATATAGAAGGAAGTTTTTATGTTTGATCATAATATTCCTTTCAAGATGACTCTGGAAAATTAAATCTATATTATAATGCCTCCTTTGGTATTAGAGACAGAGAATGCTATCAGGATCCTTCTAACAAATAATGATGCTGTTGTGAACATTATAAGGTACTGATACTTGTTAACAACTCTCATTTATACATGCCTATTCCTGCATGTAACCAATGGCCATAGGAATGTGTTCTGGTAAGTGCTCCCTGCAGGACTGCCCTAGGGCAGGAACTGCCTCCCCAGATGCTGATGATTCTGTAGGTGACAGGAAGGGCCATCTAGTTGGCAAGCAGGTTGCAGCCAAATGCAGCTGGTGGGACAACAGTCTTCCATGTTCAGCTCCGAGAACTCTTGAGTTCTACTGGTGACTTTGGGGGATAGCATGTTAAGGGCAACACACAGGAAGACCACACCTGTGCTAGAGGGTCCTTTGGGTACCAGAATGGAAATGTGTGGCTTGCACAACAAGAGGCAGTTCACCCTTTCCACATTGCTTTGCTTCACGGAGTCTGGCTTATAACAGCTCAGCTCCTTGTACCAGCAACTCGGGAAGAGAGTCCTGCATCAGATCACGAGGAAGACAACAAGAAAGACCAGTGCCATCCATCTCTCCTTCACCTGCACTGCCAGCAGCCCTGAGACCACAGGGGCCTGGGCCACCAGGCATAGAGGTCAGGAGGGCCACAGCCCTTTTCTTTAAAAGAGAACGAGGCCACCTGTATGTCTTCAGCAGGCTCCTGGGCAGAGGGGAGTTCTGCATTTCTCCAGAACAGAGTCTCTCTGCTGTCCACCTGTCCACTCTCTCAGGAAAGGCAGCAGAGCTGAGGACTCCACTGTGAACTGACAGATTGCGTGGCCTCCATACAGGTGGGCTTGTGTTTAACCTCAGTGCTCCATTCGAGAAAAAAAATCTAAAGGTTCCGAAGCAAGCCTCTTGGGATTCCTCTGAATGTGTCTCTTAACTGTCCTCCTCCTGTGAAAAGGCAAGAAAGCCTCCCTAGCTAGAGTCACTGGAGGAGAGAAGTTATTTTTTTAAAACACTGGCGTCTACATGATCAGATCTCTTTTCATGAATTACGGGGGAAATCTCTGTGTTTTTTTGGTTTTGTTTTTGTTTTTTGACAGACAGTTTTTGCTTTCTGGAAATCTGCCCAAATAACTACACTAAATAGAAACAGATTTACGGTTGTGTGTATTGTACACTAATTTCTGTGCCAAGTATACTTTTCATAGTCAAATATCAGTAATTTTAGTATTTGAAAATCAATTTTAAAAATGTATCTTTGAAGGATTTAAAAAGAGAAATTGAGCATAACTTAACAATCAGAAACCTTAAATATGAATATGATTCTTTAAAGGATCCCTTGATCTTTCAAAGCCTGATATTTACATTTTAATTTTTTTTCAAATGTCTCTCTGCTAAAGACAGGGTTCAGTGATATTTAGTAAAACATTTATAAATAGTAGCAATTCATACAATTTCATAGGTGTGTTCAACCTGTCTGACACAGTGCAGGATTTTATCTCCATTTTCCTTAGTCACTACACTGAGCCTGAAGGGCCACATCATCCCCATCTTTCAGATGAGCAGGTGGCAGACTGGGGCCTGGCATCCTGCCTGGGATCACGCAGCTCCTGCCATGTGAGACCCGGTCCCTCCCGTGTGTGTGTGTGTGTGTGTGTGTGTGTGTGTGTGTGTGGTTTGCACTGTGTCCTGGTGCAGTCAAACTGTGCAGGAGGGCTGGGATCTGTCAGAATTTCCTCAGGAGGGGACTGAATGCACCTCCAGGTGTGCTTCCCTGAGTCAGCCAGTCAGGACCAGCCGAGACAGGACTCAGCCACTCGAGACTCCTTCTCATCAGCTCTTCTTTTAAAATAACAGTTTTAAAATTGGTGCCTGTGAATTACACAGTGTGGTGGGCATCACTGTGGCCTACCCATACATGCATACAGCATGGAGTGATCCTTTTCCTCTCTCATAGTGCCCTGGCCTCCCTTCCTGCCCCTCAAATACAGCCTCCTCCAACCCATTAGTTGCTTCTTTATTCTGGCCTCAGGCAGATCAAACAAATAAAAAGTGGGTTTCCTGCCTTGTTTTCCTAAAGCGTCCTGAGGTGGGTCTCCATCTCCTTGTGGGGAGACCGTGCTTCCTCAGGGGGAGCTGACAAGACACCTGCCTGCCCGTTCCATAGTTTGCACGCCTTGTGACTCAAACATCAGTGTGGTGGCTTCCCCTAGGAAAGTGATTTTAAAGGGATAATATTTTGAAATTATACTTTGGTCAAGTTTGATTACAAAATTTGGGTCAAGAAATACTTGTTTTAATGCTAGCATCTTTTGGCACAGACCCTTAATAAATAGTGTGGGGAACTTGTACACACGATAAAGCCCGCTCATGGGAATTGGTGGTTACCTCTGAGAATGGAGTGTAGAGGCTCTCTTACTCCGCACACATATCCTTTTACCCTGGGCCTGATTGACCACAAATATGCATGTCTCATAAAGTGAGTTAATATTTGCTAACTTTTGAGGAACCTGGCATCTGGCAGGCTCAGCTATGAAAACAGGATGACTGTGGAGGGCAGGAAGTTGACCCCTCTTGGGGACCTGTAAGGAAATAATAAAGGGAGACACAGGGACAAGGTGCAGAAGCAGGAAAGGTGGCAGAGTGGCTCTTGGTCTGGTTGGCCACATTTATTTATACCAGTAGGTTACATTAGGTCATTAGTACCATAACCACTTTATTGTTCAGAGTATCAGTAAAGTTGCTTATTCTGCAGTCACATCTCACACTCACAATATGCAATGTCAGGAGCTTTGTGCGATTCTCAAAAAAGTCCAGTGTCTGTTAGGCAGGCAGATCCAGGAGCACCAGAGCTTGATGAAACATTGTAGTTATCTAGCAAACAAGTTCTTTTATTCCCAGGAGCTATGTGCCTGCAATCAAGGTTGAGGCTTGATGAAGTTCTAACACAGAGGCTTCTTAGGGCATTGTTATACCAGCTAGACATTGCACATATATTAGCTGTATTACTAGATGCTAAGCGAGATTGCAGGGTGTTGTAAGGTGGGAAACAGGGTGCCTGTTATCCCCCAAAGTTTGATTACCAGGGGAACGCTCCCTTATACATTTCCATGATCAGAATCCCTACAAGGACCAAATCCTGGACCCTGGCGTGGTGAGGGCTCTGCAGTAGCAGCATATGGTCTTTAGAAACAGAAGAGGTCTCTAGAGGGAGCACAGAATGGAGCACCTGTTAGAACAGCCACTAACCTAATTCCCTCCTGGAGTAAATGCTAAGGTGCAGTCTCAACCTGCGGCTTAGAGCAAAGAGGCAGGCCGAGATCCGAGTTCCCATTTCACTGCTTCAGCAAGCAAAGAGTGAACAGAAGCGTGGGCTCTAATGGTCACGTCTAGAAATCACACTGTTCTTTCCAACCCTCCCGGGAAGTTCTGCAGCCTTCCAAGAGATACGAGGTTTGCAGCCCCTCAAGTTGAAGCTATGGATGCTCCGAGGAGTGATGGGAGGGCTCTTGACATAGATGTCTAAATTCATTTTAAGGACCGTGCACTGATTGGATCAGTGGCTCAGCAAACTTTCTCTGCAAAGGGGAAAAACACCATCTTGGGCTTCCCAGGTGTAAGGTCTGTAGCAGCAACTCAACTCTGTCCTGGTGCATGGTCTTGGTGACTGGGCAAGGCTGTGGCTCAGAGAGAGCTGACAGTTCCACAGGCAGGGTATCCGTGATGTGCTTTGAGGTTCAGAGAGTTTATGATTTGCACAGACAGCCAAGCAAAGTGCAAGAAGGGTGGCTGCTCAAGTGCCTTGTCTCAAAGGATGAC